TTATCTACTCTGAATACTCTTTTTTTTTTTTAAGATTTTATTTATTTATTCTGAGAGAGAGAGAGGCAGAGACACAGGCAGAGGGAGAAGCAGGCTCCATGCAGGGAGCCAGATACGGGACTCAATCCTGGGTCTCCAGGATCAACCCCTGGGCTAAAGGCAGTGCTAAACCGCTGAGCCACCCGGGCTGCCCTGGATTCAATTTCTTAACGAGTTATAAAGATCTTCTTTCATTCTATTGTCTTTTTATTATTTTTCTGGTGTCTTTTGATGAATAAAATTTCTGATTTTTTTTAAATTTTTTTAAAATTTATTTACGATAGTCACACACACACACACACACACACACAGAGAGAGAGAGAGAGAGAGAGAGAGAGAGAGAGAGAGAGAGAGAGAGAGGCAGAGACATAGGCAGAGGGAGAAGCAGGCTCCATGCACCGGGAGCCCGACGTGGGATTCGATCCCGGGTCTCCAGGATCGTGCCCTGAGCCAAAGGCAGGTGCTAAACTCCTGCGCCACCCAGGGATCCCCAAATTTCTGATTTTTAATGCAAATTTATCACTTCCCTATACGGTTAATTTCTTTTGTGTCTTTTTCTTGTCCTGTGAAAACCTCAAAGCCAAGAATATATTCTTCTTTGTTATTTCCTAAAAGTTTATTTTTACTTTTCACATGTAGGTCCATCTTAGAATATATGAATTTTCTCTTCATTGGGTTTATTCTGTTATGTGATGTATAGTTTTCTTAATTCTGATTGCTAAAATGTTCAGTTCTTAAATTTCTATTTTTTTCAAATGTGCTATACCTTTTAGAAAATAATATGTATGTTCTTGAACACAGTAAGCATTCCCCTGTTGGTCTGTTTCCATTGATTTTTATCCATGCTGTCTTGCCTCTTTATATGCTTAATTATCTTTCTCTGTATTTGAAATTTATTTTGTTGAAATAATTTGAAACTTAGATTGATAATATCTTCCTCCAGAGTAGATTTCCCATATACTTCTTCTATTAGGCCCCTGGAGGTGTTAGCAATCCAAGATTACTTTTTTTGTTTTTCGGCAATTGTGATTTTTTTCAGCTACCTATATGATTTAAAGTTGAGCTGTGGTCTGTACAATGAATGCCATACTTCCAATCCACCCTTTCACCTAGTGCAGCCCTTTAATATCTCAACCCAAAACATGGGGATTTTGCCCCAGGCCCTACCACTGATAGTCCTAGACTCCAACATTTTTAATCCATCAGTTCTGCAACAATGTCAAAAGTATTACTCAGATTCTCATCCACTTCTTTTGGATCACCAATTGTACCCAGCCCCAAAATGGCATGTTCCCAGATCTCAGCCCAGTAATTCCTCACTACTTTGTTAGTCATTCAGTTCCAATTTATATTTTGCCTAGCTTTATTAATTGGCATCAGTAGGAGAAGCGTTCTGAATTACCTACTTTGTCCAGAACTAGATATTTTCAAGGTTTTTATTTCTTTAAAAGATAAAAAACATAGTTTTATAATCTTTAACTGATATTTAAAAAGCCTTGCAATTCTAGTTTCTGCTTGCTATTACTCATAATGATTTATTTACTTTTGCACCTCATTTTTTCGACTGTGGCTACTTGTTCTTATAAAATTACTTGACAGAAACTATCTGAGGCCTAGGATAAAGGTATTTTCTTTAAACAGGACTTGCATTTCTTTCTGCCAAGTTCCTATGGACACCCCTAATCAATCTGGGATTACTTTAAATTCAATTCACCATTTGAAATGATACAGGTGATGTGTATTTGGCCTGCAAGACCACAGCTGAATAATAGTTATAACTTCTGCACTATGCCAAGGCACTTTCTTTGTAATCTCTGAGAATGGGGTAAGAGGGTTCATGATTATGTTACAAAATAGGTTATGGTGGTCTTATCTTTATAAACAGAAAAAGTCTTAGATGTCATATCTTAGCCCTTAAGCCTTTACTTTTGTTCCCTACCCCCATGAGGCTTGCAAATCATAACTTACATTTGCCAGCCTGGCAACTTCCTAAATTCTTGTTTTTTCTTTGGCCTGGTAATTCCTCCATTTCTTCTTAGCAATTTGATGCTTTTAACAAAGTTACTTTAAATTTTCCCCAGTATTTTTAGATATTTTTGTTGGTAGAGTGGGTGCAAGTACCCTAGACCACCATATTTCTTGCAGAATTGGGTCGAATTTGTTAAAAATTATAAGATATGCAACACAGCTTACAAACTCTGTTTCTAAGCAAAATCAGAGAACCAGAAAGTCAGAAGGGACATGACACAAATGGTAAGTACTATAATTTGCATGTTTCATTAATTTCCTGATCTTTTTCATTGTAAGAGTATTTTTTTTCATTATAACAGTATTTTTATGCATCACAAAAGTTTAACCTGTTGGTTCTAAAGTAGTTCTCAGAACTTTAGAAAAAGTATCTAAGGAAAACCATATCAAAGCAGTAATAGCAAGCATCACTGTGTTGTGATCTCAATTAAGAGGATAAAGACCTCAAGATTCATTCCTCAGTAAGTACATGTCCAAATTCCACCGGTCCCACCCTTGTCACTTCTAGGCTGTCTTCAAATCCTTCACTGGGTACTTGGCTTTGGCTCTAATGATTTTGTTACTCCAGGCAGTTTTCCAAACAAAAAGGAATGGTTATTTACAATTCCTAGACTGAAATCATAAATATCAGCTGAATTACACTGAAATGTCAGTATAACACTATGAACAGAATTCCACATAAAGTGAGTCTGTCTTGGCTAGGTAAAAGGGATTTTAGTTATAAAAATAGCAAAAGGATCTTACTGTAGGTAAGTTTAGACTCTCAGGTGGTCCTGCAGTGTATACTCTGAGGACAGCTTTACAGCAAGGTTTCTGACACAGACCATTTAGACCGGGAGCCAGACTACATTTTTCTTCCCCAAATTATAAGGAATCAGTGGTATTGCAGTAAAATCGCCCCTTTGTGAATGAAATAACTTTACTTAGATTTTCATACTGAATACCTTTATTATACAGATCATTTTACTTTTTCCTCAGAAATTTTGTGATTACTTCTCTAAAACAATATTCATGAGATAAGGTACACACAGTGGTATCTTCAAGTGAACCCTTTTTGTGTTCAAGTATAAGTGCCCTTTATAAAAATAAAATAATCAGCATGTGCTAATTTTAAAATAGGGATGTTTTTCAAGGTATTATCAAACCTCCAAACACTCCCATCTAGCACACGTCTGACAATTACCAGTTTCTGAACTCTCTGACACTCTGAAAGAGATGCATCATACAGAAGGCTGACTCTTCGGGGCTCTGCCGCAATGCCTCAGTGAATACGCTGCTCTCAGTCCTACAGAGGATTGTGCTGTCTGATGGCAAAATGCAGCCGAACACTACCTTGTGAAGCTGGTCATTCACGTGCCTGAGAATGCAGTAATTCCATCCCTGAGGCATATATCCTAGACAAGCACAACAATTCTCAAAATATGATCCTTGGACCGGCAGCGTCAGTGTCACCTGTGATATACAGATTCTTAGGACCCACTCCAGACCTACTGAATCAGAAACCCAAGGAGAGGTGTGTTTTAACAAGTCCTAAGTGATTCTGATGTAGACTAAAGTCTGAGGCTCCCCACTTTGGAGAAATGGGTTCATTCGCTCTGATACAAGAATGTTTGAGCAGCACTGTCTCTCATCACTCATTTTCTTTCTCTCTCTCTCACACACAAACCCATACACATTCAACTCCGAATGAATTCAATTCTGAAAAACAATGTCCTTGTCAGGAAAATGTATTAAAAAACTGTATTATTAGCACAATGAAGTACTCACTATACAACAGAGAAAAATAAATAAAAAACAGCTACAATTATAAGCCTAAATAAAACTTAAAATTTTACTTCTGATTGAAAAAATTACAGAAGTCTACAGTATGATATTTTATAAAGGTCAAATATGAGCAAGACTAAATAATATCTACTTAAGAATACATTTATGTAATAAAGAAATAAAGACATTAAAAACAAAGAAAAGATATCCTTTTAATACTGTATAGTATTTCCTTCAGAGGGAGCAGAGGTAGGAATGGGGTGTGGAAGGATCACACTGGGATCTACAGATGTACTGGAAACAGTCTAGTTTTTAAGTTGGGTGATGAATTCACAGTGTGTTAGGTATTCATTACATTCAGGTTATTTTCATCACTACAGTCATTAACGTGTCTCAAATATTATAAATTTAAGACCCAGAAAACACACAAAAAATGCAAATAATAAACAAAGATGGTCATTACATCAAATAGAAAAATTAAAAACCAACTAAGTGATATAAATTGTGTAAACTATAATATGTTCATTTAGTTATACAGAATTTTTAAAGACACCAGAAAATATTTATGATAAAATTAGCCAGATAAATTCATGTAAGAAATATGCAGTAAAAAAGGTTAAGAAAATAAAGTGTCAACAGTGGGTATTACAGGGATTTTATTTCTTCTTTGTTCATTTAAAAGTTTCTATACTGAATAATAAATACCTTAAAAATCATTAAGAATTTTTTAACTATTGCAAGAACATTTAATGACCCTAAGTCATTAAAGAAAACTGCCAAACCTTCTATTGGAGGTAGTAAGGAAACTGGTGCTTTGTGGAAATCTGCTTGTTATTCATGAGTTCTGTAATTCGAAATTTTACATTTTCTGTCATAAAACTGGATACTTTTATTACTGTGATTCCATTTTAAATAAATTTATTTTTGTTTGTGTGGGGAAAAATATGACTGATTCAAAGAACATATTTTATTGAGGATTTCAATTAAAATGACTGAAAACAACATCAGTTTGAGAACGAAAGGAAAAAACATCCACTAGTGGTAGACCAGCTTTTGGAAACACAGAAGAAATGCATAACTGAGAGTCAGCCTTATAGTCCTATGTCCTGTCATAGTGAGAAAGAACCATAAAGATTAAGGCCAAGGAAGGCAAGAGATTAGTTACATACCTTTTTTTCCAATATTCGAGCGATCTCGCCTAGGGTCCGATCTAAAGCAGAAACTTTATTGTTTGCCCATGAGCCACTGTCCTGTACTTGCAGTTGTTTTAGAAGATCTTTAGCTAATCGCTGAAGCCTTCAATACAAAATGAAAGGGAAGAATGACTTCAATGAATTAGACTATAATATTTCATTTTCCTAAACAGTTTGAAACAAAAGTTACTTTCACTATTGTATTGGAAACTGCTTCACAGAGCACTCCTCTGTGACGACACTTCATAAATATCAACCTAGTCCTCGTGGCACAACACAGAACTAGAGGACAGTAATGGCTGCCACTGCTGATGGCATTTACTTAGACAACAAGCAATTACTTACTTTTAACCAGGAAATAAAACTCATTACTTAGACCACAGATTCTTTCCTGAGTGAAGCGTGCATGGTATTCTTCGCAGCCCTTCCTCGTCTGTTTCATATACCTCACTCTGAGCAATCCTGTTTTCCGCGTATTTGCTTAAGCAGCCCACCGACAGATAGTCACCAGACATGCTCCCAAATCTCTCCACTTCGCCCCCATACATTGTTCCCCCGTTGTTTCATCTCCATTTTTACCTGTGATAGATTCTGTAGGCCACGATTATAGTCACTTCCTGGCAAACATGCTACGTTCCCTCTCTGTTTTCTGTTACTCCTACTGGCCAACCCCCAGCAGTGGTGACAGTCACTAAGTCTTTCGGTAGGTGAGCGCCATTCTGTGTCTTGATGTATAAATTTATTGAGGTGGATAATGAACATCTGCCAGCCTTTTCCATCTCTGACCTTGGTATGACTACACATTGAGGATCTTACTAAATCTGTCTAGTCCACTCACTCTCCACAAAGACTTGCTTCATACATTATCCACTCTCTTCAGAACGTCATCATTTCCTTTCTCCCTCTTGCTTTCAAAAGATCTTACACTTCAGAGTGAAAATAGAACTACTAGAACAAGAAAATCCTCACCTTCTGCCACAAACTCAAACCACAAACTTTGCTACAAGCCCATCTGCATTTCACCCATACTCTCCTTTGTTTCTATTACAATCAAGGAAGGCTGAATCCTCCCGTGTAGGGCTAATCTGGCCACACAGACTCTGCACAGGAAGTCTTTCTGGATCAAACTCATCTTCTTTGGGCAGCCTGGGTGGCTCAGCAGTTTAGCGCCGCCTTCAGCCCAGAGCCTGATCCTGGGGTCCAGGGATCGAATCCCACGTCGGGCTCCCTGCATGGAGCCTGCTTCTCCCTCTGCCTGTGTCTCTGCCTCTCTCTCTGTGTCTTTCATGAATAAATAAAATCTTTAAAAAAAAATCACCCTCTTCTTCTTCCTTCAGTATCTTTGCAAATGCTCATTCATTCCTTCTGAAATGCTTCCCTTGCCTCTACATTATCTAGACAATTTCTACTTATCCCTGAGTTTTCAGCTCAAACATTACTTTCTCTGATTTGACTATTCCCTCAAATCACTCATCACGACTTTCCCACGCAAGCTTTACAACAGAACTTTCTGCAATGACGGGCATCTTCCATATCTGTATTGTCCACTACAGTGGCTGCTAGCCAAATGAGGCTATTACGTACCTGCCGTATAGTTAGTGTGAATGAGGAGCTGAATTTTAAGTAGATTGATTGATTGATTGATTGATTGACTGATTTGAGAGAGAGCGAGTAAACAAGGTGGGGGGTGAGGGGAAGAGAGAATCTTAAACAGGCTTCACATTCAGCGCAGAACCCCACATGAGGCTTGATCTCATGACCCCAAGATCATAGCCTGAGCCAAAATCAAGAGTCAGACACTAAACTGAGTAAGCCACCAGATGGCTAAGTTGCATTTAACCTTAATAATTTAAATAGAAACACATAGCTAGAAGCTATTCTATTGAACAGTGTAGAAATATAGTCTTAACTTCATCAAAGAGGGCTCCTGTCTACCTGTTCACTGCCTTATCCACAGGACCTAATATGCTACCTCTATCATAAGTGCATTCAATAGATATTTAATGAATAGGCTAAAAAAGAAATTTCTTCTTTACTTTAATATTAATAATATCCATAACTTCACAGGTTACAAAATACATGAATGTACATGATCATATGTAACCCTATGAAAACAATGTCTATTAGTATTATTCCCGCTTGAAAAGTGAAGAAAGTAAGGCTCAGGCAAATTCAAGGGCTTTCCTAAGGTCTCATGACTGGTAAAAGGTATTGGCCTTTGATCCTCAAATCCCATGCTTTGTCTCCAAACCGTATTAGTCAATTTAAGTAAGAGCATTTTGTTCACAAAGAAATAATGCCATAGAGTACCATTTCACCTAAAAATGTATTTGTGTAAAAATTTTAAATTTCTCAAAGAGTACAACAGCAAATGCAGCTCAAAAAGGCACTGGTGAACTCCAGTTTAAAATAAAATCTAGGGCAGCCCAGGTGGCTCAGCGGTTTAGTGCCACCTTCAGCCCAGGGTGTGATCCTGGAGTCCTGGGATCGAGTCCCATGTCGGGCTCCCTGCATGGAGCCTGCTTCTCCCTCTGCCTGTGTCTCTGCCTCTCGTTCTTTCTCTGTATGTCTCTCATGAATAAATAAATAAATAAAATCTTTAAAAAAAAAAGGGGGTCTCTTCCATTTGGCTGTTAGCTCCATGAAGACAAGGAAGGCCAGCTTTTAAAAAAAAAAATCTAAGCTATCTGTGTGAAGTTTACTTTGATATGTCAAAGACTAAATATAAACTCTAATATCAGAAATACCTGTACGTGAATTCTAGCACCTGTACATACCACATAGTAAACCATGGAACAGTTTTTTAACTACTCTGAATCTCAATTTCTTCATTTTAAAAGTAGAGATTAAAAAATATATGTATATATAAAATATATAAACATATACATTTATGTATATTTAAAACATATAAATATATATTTATGTATATTTTAAAATATGATTATATTTTTATATATTCATATTTAATATTATATATATCAGAGCTTTCACAGATTGGAAGTAATTAGTGTAATGTACCTAACACTGTTCAGGAGTAAAGTAGACATTCAATAAATGATCAACCATTATTACTATTCATTGACAGAAGGTCTCAATCTAACGAAAGGAAAAAGGGAATATATAAAAAACACAGAAATAGAATAAGAACAACATACTTCTTTTCCCTTTTAATCAAATATGGGCTAGAATCCCATTAGATTAAAATTACTGACCTTATCATGTTGAGGAATACTGGCAGAAAACTTTACCGTGTGATAGATAAGTAGCCACTTTAGCTGTTGGCTGAATAAAGTCTACACACCATGTAACTAAATATTCGGCCGCAGCCATGGATGCATATGAATCTAGCAGTATTCTTACCAAGAATGGTCACATTCCACTGAAAACCAGGGGTACTTAGGGAGGCACAAGAACCATTTTAATTCACAGAATACAAGAGGCTTATATTTCACCCTGAGGTAAATCAAATCTGGGACTCCTATGAACCTACCTTTCAAGGAAGAATGCCAAATCAAGGGGATGCTTTGGTAACATGAGATAAACCTCTGTTTAATTCCCTGCCTCCACAGAAGTACCACAAATAACATAGCCCCTCTCAAGAAAAAAGCATCAGATTTTGATTCATACTATGAATAATTACAGACTGTCAGGACTCAGGCCCTGAAAGTTATATTTTCCCTACCAGGGAAGAAAAGAAGCTGTTAGAGGGTGCAGTTTTTAACACAGAAATTGTTCTGTGAGCTACTTCTGGCAGAAAAATTTTCTAGCATGAGAAGAAAAAGAGACTCTGTAACTCCTAGCCTAGAACATGAGAATTATCTGTCAGATAAACGGCTTTGTGGAGAATGTTGTAAGGTCAAATACTTTATTCTCAAAAATTAAACAAATCCCCCCCACAACAACTCTAAGTTCAAGTATGTCACTGGTGGACGTGAAATGTAAATATATTTTTGTAGGGAACCCTAACTTGTATCATGGTGAGGTTCCGGGGGGTTCATTAGGATCATTGGAATGATTTGTAAAAACATAAGAAAAGACGCTAGGTCCACATTAGAAAACATCGCTCTTTAGTATGATAGACAGGAAGACAAACACATTAACAATTTTTTCTTTCACTTCCACTATTTGAAAGGTACATAGTCTAAATTTAGGGCAATTGGTTCCCCTTCTATTTTTAAATAATATGTTGAAGCCTTTATTTCTAAATATAAGAGTTTAAGAAATCCCTATATAAGTTGAAAAAATCAATGTACATGCATTGCCTCCTACATTGGACACCCTTCATTTTTGCCTGCCAGCTCCCTTCTCATGAAAGAAGAACCCATCTTTCTCTTTTAAGGAACTACCTTGCCTTCACAGTACACGGGAGTACTTGATGTGCTGGGGTATTGCTATTGAAGTCTTGCTTCTCCCAGGCCCTCACTTTCAGGGGAAAGAACTAGGAAATGTTTATTTTATGTATTTATTTTATACATAAAAATAAAAAATATATATCATATACATATATATATTCCTACACATTTACATCTATAGTTCTATTTCTATATATTGGGAAATACAATTAAAACAAATACCTATAATTCCAATTTGCTACAGGGTCTTTCTGTTTTTCCTGGATATTTTTAACTCTTCAGCAGTGAGCAATCTGCCTTTCATCATCCTTAATATATTTATGTATTTGACCAAAACCCTACATGTAACATAACATCCATCTTTGTTTCTTTTATTTTTTTTTTAAGAATTTATTTATTTATCTGAGAGAGAGAGAGTGAGCACAAGAAGGAAGAGCAGCAGAGGGAGAGGGAGCAACAGACTTTCCACTGAGCAGGGAGCCCAGTGCGAGGCTCAATCCCAAGGCCCGGGGATCAAGAACCAAAGCTGAAGGCAGAAGCTTAATCGACTGAGGCACCAGGTGCCCCCAATCTTTGTTTCTATACGCATGCTATTATGCTCCTGCTTGGGCTCTGACTCCCTTGACTGGGCTACTGTGCCTTCTCACCGTGCTTGGGTTTCAATTCAGTTGCCTTTGTCAGGCTTCCCTCTTCACTTGGGCTCTGACACACTGTGCTAGGATGCCCTTCCACGTATCCTCATTCTGCTCTG